GTGCATCTGGAAATGGGAGAATGGCTAAAGTTACCACAGTAAAGCTGGATTTTATCAGAACAGAGTGCAGGGAGCACAAAGACTGTCTTTAATTAGGAACACAGACTTGACATACACGAGACTGCTGTGCTTCTACTCCTGTATACTTTCCCAAGAAATCACCAAGCTCCCTTCGGGCAATAGTCATCCCATGTCTTAGGCAGGGGAATATAAATTCTTATTCTCCTTCCAGATTGGGTTTTCCTGATTTGAGCATGCGGCAATTATATCGTGAAAATTTGGATCCGTCTTAATCTGCATGTTTGGTTTCTCTAAATCTATACAGAGATTTAGGAGCTCAACAAGAGCATATAATCAGATGAGTAAAGGGGCGTCTGTGAACAAACAGACACAGAGTTCGTGGCAGAGATTGGCAGACTGGCATGTCTGCCAGGTAGCATTCAACCGTGGCTTGCTCTGACTACCTGGCCATAGGGGCGGGCAAATCCCACCTCCCTTTCCTTTCAGGCCCCTAGGTCCTGCCTTGCAACATTGTTAAACTAATGGTGGGAAGTTGTGTATGTCTGGAATAAAGGTTTGAAATAAATATAAGAAATGAGAGGTTATCAATTAAGTGTTTATTTTTTGCTCGAAGTGAATGGCATGAGGCTAAAATGAGACATCTTCTGTGAAGGCAAGGGCGGTAGTGTCTGGCGGGTAACATTTCTGTTCCTCTTTCCTCACTTGCATGCTACCCAAATGCTGTTATATCTTTCAGATCATGTATATGAAATGTCACCTTGACCCCCAAAAGTGATACAAAAAGTAAAGAGCTACAATTTTGAGATTAAGTGAAAGATCCTCTAGGTGTTAAAGGATTCCAATATTTCTATTAGACTGAAATTTAGGACTGAAGTCCATATTGTTCCCTCAATCTATAGCTAATGGATCTATAGCAATCTACATGAAATTTAACGTGATGACAAAGAACCAAGTCATTGGTTCAAATATGAATCCAGAGAAACAATCGTCAACATTAGATTCAGGGGGGAAAATTATACAACACATAAGAAACTCCGTTTCCCTCCATTAACAATCTCAAATTATTTCAAGAACGTAACTTTCTTTCTTTCCTTGTCTTAAAATGGTCCTCAAAATAACTGGAGGCAAAACTGTCTTGTTAAAAGGTGAAGAATTGGGGTATGAGCTACTCCGTGCTAAATATGGAGCCATTTCAAACCGTGCAGCTCTTTCGTGTGATGTTTCTCTAAACGGCAAGGCTGCCAAACAGCACTCCATGCTCTTCCCACCACCTCTAAATCCGGCACCGACTGTCACAGTGACACTCTGCCAAGCTGCCTCAGAGCGAGGACAGCCGAGAAGCCCTGGGCTCGCTGCTGCGGAGCTGAACCGAATAGCTCACCCCGTGGGGGGAGAGAGGAGCGAGACACGCCCTGCAAACCTCTTTGGACTCCTGCCCCATCCAGGAGTCCATCTCCTCTACAGGGGTTGGTAGCTTTTTCAGGAATTTGTAGGACAGCCCCCAGCAGGTAGTAGTCCGGATAACTTCGGTGGTGCTCCGGGTAGATACTTGCACAAGACAGCTTTGATAGCTTACTCTTCTCACCTCACCTTATTTTTGAGGGTGTTTCAGGCCTTTGTTTTGTTTTCATTTCACCACACCCGTTCCTTAAAGTCCCCTAAATATGTTAAGGCTATTTACACGTTTGTTCTTTACTACTCCCCTGAGACTTTTTAATCCTCTGCCTGGCTGGCAATTAAGGCGAAAGACCTAGGGCGGAGTTTTATAAAGAGGGGAAATTTTGAACTCTGGATTTTAACTGTGCCATGATTTATGTTAAATAATTCTTTGAGACAGGTCTATTTAAAAATTGTATTTACTAGTCTAACGTAAGTTTTAAGAAAAGTGCCGTTGCAAGAACTCTGAGTTATAATGAGTTTAATACCTAAAAATAAATTTTAAAATAAATTGTTACCTGAAATAAGTGACTTGCTCTCCACAGATACTTGCAGCTTAAATAATATTTGAATCTTCTAATGATTATTTTTCTTTAATGTTAGTGACAAGGCAAGGAAGACATCAAGACTATTATTGTCTAGCATTGTAAATATGAGTCTTGGTCCTGAAGATTTTAATTTTAGGATGGAAAAGTCAGATCTAGACGCTGTCTGCTTATTTGTTTTCTGTGCTTTCTTTTTGTGTGGAAAAAAGGTTCTAGTAGACTTGCTTTTTAAAAAATGTCAGTTGTTCTCCATTAGTACAACTCACATTGACTCACCGAAGATGTCTCTCTGTTTACCTGATAGGAAAGTCAATTAATTATCAAAATGCTCCCAAATAGCTGCAGATGCACTTCCCAGGTGTCTTGCCTGAAACGCCCTTTCTGTGGTAAGGAAATAGCAGTGGGAAACCTAGTCTAATCACTCTTCCCTGACTGTGTTGGACAAATATTTAAGGCCAATACATCTAGATTACCTGAATATAGTTTTAAGATTTAAAAAAAAATAAAATGGAGTCTTTGGAATAAATGGAATTTTTCCTGCAAATATTTCTGAATTAGAATAGAAGCACTAAAAATGCCAGAAAATCTAACACTTAAATGTTGGCATTTATATGACCATTAGAAGCTGGGGGGAGTCCCTCAGCCTGGACTGTGCCCTCTCACAGTCTGGGAGTCCTTAGGGGATGTCTGAATGACGTCTTAGGCCCGTTCCTAACCTTCCTTAGTGCTACCGCAGAGGTGGGAGAGGCTCCCGCCACCACCGCTGCACTCGCCAGTCATGAGCCCAGCTCAGGGCTTCTGGCTGACCAGTGCTCCCCCTGTGGGAGTGCACTGACCACCAGGGGACAGCTTCTGTGTTGAGCATCTACTGCCTGGTGGTCAGTGCGCATCATAGCAACGGTCGATTTGTATATTAGCCTTTTATTTTATAGGATTAAGATGACCTTGAGTTTACTAGAGGGTTTTTATGCATTTCTGTTTTAAATTTCTTCTGAATAACAAACATTGACTGATTCATGGAGTTGACATCATTCTCCCATGTAGAAATGCCCTTAATCCATTGTCATTTTGGGGAGTTTTAGGAACTGATTTAGTGTTTATTATGAAAAAATTGGATTTTTTAAAATTTTATATTTCCTTCAACCTATCAGAAAATTGATTTTAGAGAGAAACTTGTAGAAGTTGCTTTTGCATATTTCACTGTGAGACAAAAATATTCTGACAGCTACACGCTGAAGGTCTGAAAATAGAGTGGTTAGTGAGCACCAGTTAAAGTAACGTTTGGTATGACCAAGTGCCACCTTTATATTTTATATATTCAAGTTGTCAGAAATAGATCTGAAAAAAAATCTTCATGTAGCAGCTCTTAAAAGGCAACATTTTCTTCCTTTATATATTTGCTTTAACAGTTTCTCAGAGCACAAACAAAAAGTTAGCTGGGACCTATTTTTTGACATTGCTTCTTAGAATTTTTTTCTGAAAACATATATACTCTCTTAGTGGTTTTCCTAATGCAAATTTCTGCATAAGAGAAACAGTAATCATCGGATAGACACTAGACTCATTACCAATTTTTGATTTTAATATGTCTCATATCAGGCAACTGCCCCCAAGAAATCCCAGATTTAGAAATATTAGAATCAAAGATCAGAAAGCGGTCAGAGAGCACTGAGTCCATACCCCACTTCCTTAGTACACCCAATCGTGGTCTCATCGCCAGGACGAGAGCCTGAAGTGGAGAAATACTAATGGACTAAGGTTTCATGATGACCTGGTTATCCAAGACTCTATGCTGGTGACTCCATGTCACTTTTCGAAATCTTGCAGTTTAGGAAAGAGACTGCCAGTGATTTATGATACAGGTGAGAGGAGCTGAAAACAACAGGCTTCAATTTTTCCTGCCCAACACATACACGATGCACATCTCGCAACACATCAGTGGCATGATGTTTTATATCAGGGCTTTCCACAAGTAAAGATCATTGTGTGTTTTACCTTGGCAGTCTCTACAGCGGTGCTCTAGCAAAATAGGGAACATGCCACTGCATCCATGCTTTGTTTTTTAATATAATAAAACAGATTATAATAATAAGCTAGAGGAATGTCAATAATGTGAAGTCAGGAAAATAAAATATTAATAAAATGACTGCCATTGACTGGGATGAGAAGCTACTTGTGATAATGTCTATCAATAGCTTGTTAAGAGCCTAATGAGCCACAGGAAGTGGAAAGGTCACGCTGATGTAGAGGCATCATGTGATCAGAATAAATATGGGTCCTGTGTTTCTTATTCATCTATTCATGTTTATTCATGTGTTTAATGAAAGGTATGTTCTTCAAATTTCCTTGTAATATGTTTGTTCTTTACTCAGAATCCAATTATGAACGGATATTATAAAAGTTTGGCTTTACCAAATACCTGCCCCCCACCCCCCCTCCTCCCGCCCTCTAAAGATAACCAGAAACAGATCTGTTTTTGTTATCTCTTTGTCTTACTGTGTTTTGTTTCAGGGCATATAGTACTTGAAGGGAGACTAGAAATAGTCTCACCAATAGGATCCCTTACATGAAACATAAAAGGAAAATCCAAAATCAATTTGTCAGAAGATCATTGAGTAATCTTATTTTTCACAATGTTTAGAGATATTATAGATTATGCCATACCAAATAGTAAATCCCCCTTGAAAACCACACATATTGCTTGTAACAGTGGAAATAAATCTGCCCTCAGGTGAGAATTACTGGTGTTGAGCCAGACACAGCCATTTTGATAGCTGTGGAGTTCCCAACACTTCCCTCTATAGATTATGGCAAGTGGTAAATTTCTTGGCAGAGAGCAAAGTCGAGGTACATCAGTATTTGTATTAGGAATTAAACAAATTGGGTAACATAAAAACAGTGACAACTGCTTTCTCAGTTGATTGCCAATGTAGACATTATCTGCTCATATTTCTAAGAGAGAAGAAAATTAACGTCTGTCATTTCTGGCCTGAACAGGTTCAGGATGCATTTAGATGCCGACTGAGAAACTGTCAGGATCCAATCAATGCTGATTCTTCAAGCTCTTTTCCTAATGGGCATGCGCAAATCATGGTGAGATTTTATTTTCCCTTCTGATTGTTGATTGAGTTATGATTTCTAGGAAATGAACAAATACCAGTATTCTTATTAGTAAAATAGCATCAATGTCCCATTTTGAGTGACTTTGGCTTTAGTGCATTATCAGACGTAGAACTCTGATACTAGATAACTATTCTGTCTGGATAGCCTGGGAGTCCAGCATCTGTTACTGACCCGGTAGTGTACTGAGCATAGGGCTTCTGTGAAACGGAGAGTGTTTTCATCCTTGCACGGAATTAGGGATAACAATTTGTCCAAAGAGTCTTCTTTGTTTCAGGTCAGAACTATGGTTCTGCACTTCTAGTCTTAAAGTTGTGGCTTTCAGCCTTGGGTGCACATTAGAATCCGTTAGAATCCACACTCCAGACCCATGAGGTCAGAATCTCTGAGTTTGGACCCAGGCGCTGGTGGTTCCAATGTGCAAGCTCACGTGAGAACTACTGCCCTAAACTAAAGGGTAGCCATGCTTCTAGTAACAGTTAGTTACTGGACATGAGCTCTATTTTGGGGATTAGGGGTACTTTAGATATAACCACTTTGGTATACTTTAGAAATGAGATAACTTTTAAACTATGTCATTAAAATCAAAAGAGTTATTTTACAATATTTTATTTTACAATATATAAATTACACTTACTGGAGCAACATTGGTTAATAGCATTATAGAAGTTTTAGGTGTACAACGTTATAATACAACATGTATATTCCGTTGTGTGTTCACCACCCAAAATCTAGTCTTTTTCCATCACCATATACTTGTCCCCCTCTGCGTCCTCTCCTCACTCCCCATCCCACTCTGGTAACCACCAGAATGTTGTTTGTATCTATGAGCTTGTTGTTTTTTGTTTTATATCCCACATATGAATGAAATCATATAGTTCTTTGATTTATTAATCTTTTTTATTAGGCAACATAAAAATAGTCAAAAATATACTAGTAACATTTAAGTAAAGCTTGAGAAGGAATAATTAATTCCTTATTAAAAATAAAATACTAATATCTTGAATTTAAAATATTGGATAAGATGGTCTAATTTTACCATTACAAAAATGAACATTATCTATATATATAAAAGCCTAAGTGACCATTACTATCAGATGACTAGATGACCAGCCAGTAGCTATGACATGCACTGACCACCAGGGGGCAGACGCTCAATTCAGGAGCTGCCCCCTGGTGGTCAGTGTGCTCCCACAGCCAGCCTCCCATGGCCAGCCAACCTCCTGCAGTCCCTCCTCCTGGCTGGCTGCCCCCATAGCCCCAATCGGAACTGGGCCAAAAGGCCCTGATTGGCCCCAATTGCTGGCCAAGCTGAGGGACCCCACCCATGCACGAATTCGTGCACCGGGCCTCTAGTCTATATATGTCAGTGGTTCTCAACCTTGGCTGCACATTAGAATCACCTGGGAATCTGCCGAAACCGGTTTGGCTCAGTGGATGGAGCCTGCGGACTGAAGGGTCCCAGGTTCGATTCCGGTCAAGGGCATGTGCCTGGGTTGCGGGCACATCCCCAGTAGGGAGTGTGCAGGAGGCGGATGATCGATGTTTGTCTCTCATTGATGTTTCTAACGACTAGTCGCTATGATGCATATTGAGCACCAGTGGGCAGATGTCCAATGCAGGATCTGTCCCCTGGTGGTCAGTGTGCTCCCACAGCCAACCTCCCATGGTCCTTCCCCGCAAGGGACCCCACCTGTGCACGAATTCGTGCACCAGGTCTCTAGTTTAAAATAAAAGTTTGGGGAAAATATGAAGATGGAAGTAACCTCTAGGGCAGTGATGGCGAACCTATGACACGCGTGTCAGAAGTAACACGTGAACTCTTTTTTGGTTGATTTTTCTTTGTTAAATGGCATTTAAATATATAAAATAAATATCAAAAATATAAATCTTTTTTATACTATTGTTGCAAATATCAAAAAATTTATATATGTGACACGGCACCAGAGTTAAGTTAGGGTTTTTCAAAATGCTGACACGCCGAGCTCAAAAGGTTCGCCATCACTGCTCTAGGAGCTTGTAGGCCAGATTAGTATTGCTTCCTCTTCAATTTTAATTCCTAAGCCTAAAAGTCTTTTGCCACATTTGAGTGAAAATGGATCATTAGAAGAGACTGATTTGACTATTAAGGGTTTGACAGAGCTGTGCTATAAAATACAACACTTCAAACAATATATACAAAGTGAATGCTTAAAAATACAAATAACAAAGACATTTATCAAAGTGTATTCATAATAGTGCATATTTTAATCTTTTATTATAGTTTAAGGAATTGCCTTAAAATTCTGTCCTGGAAGACGACAATGGGTATTGTATTACTTTCTCAAAATTGTATGGCATGTTTCCATTGATTTTATTCAACATTTGGTCTCTAGGAAATACTCTTGAAAACAATTTGATTATTCCTTAAGAAAATTCCTTTGTACAAACAATAACCTGGTACTGCCTAATCAGATATCTGTATACTTCCAGTAATCTGGTTAGTGGAAGTTATTTGAGGTCTTTATTAAATGATGATTCTATGCCTCATTATTTTTTGTTACAGACAGACTTTGAAAAGGATGTAGACATTGCTTGTCGGTCAGGTAAGAGTATTTGGATTTTGAAACTATAATCATTAGAGATGTGAAATCATTTTCATGGATTTTTTATTTTAAAGAAAATGCTGTGATTTGTGCATCACATGTTTGTGTGGTGAATAGAACAGAATATTCAGAGTTCTATTCATAAATAAAATCCTTCAAATAGAAATATTGTATTGTAATAGCAGCATGGGGGTGGGACGGGAATGAGAGAGAGAGGAGAGAGAAACTAGAAATGGTTAATTGGGAGCACCATGACAGCAGAAAAGCATCGACTTGAAGATGTAAGCCCTCCCATTCCATTACTGGTTGTCAGGCCAGTCTAGTCTCTCTGAGTCTGTATCATCACCTATGAAATGTGGGTGTTTAAGGATCAAACGACCCTGTGTGTATGTGTATCGTAGCCATTGTTGTTTTACTTTTAGAGGGAACAAGAGAAACCATGCAGCACACTCTGCCCTATAGTATTGGTGTCTCATTGACACTGTCTGTGATGGTTGTTTCTGCCTGTGGCTAAACTCTCACCAAGAGTAGACGACTCGAGGGTTTTAAAGGAATCCACATTTTAATTTTTGGATGACTCCAGTTGTTGAAATATTCCCTTATATTGGGACAAAAATATACCTGACTTTACCTTTTATTCGTTAGCTTTATTGTTGCCTCTAGAACAAGAGTGGATAGCTACTTCACCGAAATATCCCAATATTTGAAAGCAAGTATCATTCAGCCCAATCTAAGTCATTTTTCTCCAGGCTAAACAAACCATGGTTCCCTATCCATTCCTCAGAGCATCTTCCCAGGCAGGCATGGTGTGCCTGGTAACGTCCAATTTGTAAATAATTTTAATTTATGCT